AAGGTCATCGCTGATACGCGCCTAGATCTCATGTACGGACCCCTTAAAAATGTGCAGAAATTTGGGTGGGAAAATGATGATTTTGGAAACCGGTGAACGTAGCAGGCAAAAACTTAACAGGGACATTTTCAACCCACGTACAAGCTAAAGATTTCAAATTTAGCTACTGCGCATGCTTACGTCATGCGTACGGCCGCATAAAATTCCAACAGCTACACCTTGTCAACTCGAAAACTTGCTGGAAAAAATAACAGCCGCAGTAATTTGCCGGAATATTTGTAATCCGCCTGGGAAATTGTACACCCAAATAGAGTTTCGATTTATACTTACGTCACACCTTCAGTCACATCAAAAATATTTGTAGCAAAGCGGAGGCTTCGCTCTCCGAATACAGTGTAGGGCTGAAACTTTGCAAAGATATTCTATACTCACTTGTATTTTAAGTTTAGCCTGCGGTCTAAATCCCTTGTAAACAGACATGACAAAAACCACACACCACAATTTTATTGCAACCCCAAAAGCGAGTGCATTTTGCGGATTTCATAATCCTCCTTTCCTGACATTTTTGCCAAATTTACATTTTTCGATGAACGACCGGTCACCGGAAATTATTCATTTTTCTTCATGCAAAATTAATCATGCATGCTGGATGCTCACGCGGCCAAATGACGCACCACTACTGCACCAGCGGACGTTCTATTCCTGTGTATGGAAGAAAACGCCAAAACATATCCAACATGAGCTCCATGTGTTAAACTGTAAAGCAACAACCAATCAAACTATTAACGAACTGAGTGGTTCAAGTTTAGCGCAAAGATGCATGCTCGCAAGCTAAGCCTGGTGCGTCAGTTAACTAGGCTCCTTCTGATGAAATATGGGAATACAGGCACAAAACTACTGGTTTTTTCAGAATCTTGTTTCTCACATAGCATCATAAACCCATATAACCCTCCCCCTCCCTGCAATAATTCTTATTCTTGTTTCCAATTACTACCTTCAAGCAACGTCTCAGTTCAGTTCCAGTTAATGTCCTAGCACCCTCCCCACTGCTACAATCGTTTGCGACCTTAATAAGCAATCTCGAACCTTGTCCCTGCCCCTTACTCACTACCTCACCACCAGCGCAGTCATCGCATCTCGGCTCTTAACCCAGCCAAATCGAGCCATGTTTTAGTAATTGCCGATTTCAGGAAGTTATGTACACTGCAACTCTTTGCTAGACCAGCAGACCGAATCCAGCACCAAATTTACTGACGGGCAAAAATTTCCTCAAAATGAAGGCGATAACTAACACGGAGGACTGGCACATGTCATTTTGCTGCACAGCGCAATGCCGCCTTTACATTTGCATTGTTCGCAACTGTTTGTGTGCCACTGCTCACCGTCGTCGTAAATCTGGCCTCCATGTGGACATCGCTTACCGTCGCCGTCTTCGCAGACAAATTGGTCGCAACATCGTCCCGGCGTTCCATCACCTCAAAATCATCCAATTAGTTTAGTGGTTCGTACGCGACTCTCTCCCAATTCGACCGATTTAACCGCTGATCATCTGCTTTGATTTTGCAGAGGTCACCAACGAGCACGAATATGCCATGATATCAAAGGATAACAGTCTGTTGCTTTGCAGAAGCTGTGATGAACAGCTAGAGTTTGGTAGAGATAACCAATTACGATTTTATAGCTTTCTTGGCAAAAACTGGCATCGGCCGCTCGCATACTTTTAGCAGTTTTCCTTTACTTAAATGAGTAACTAAATTTATCATTTCTACAAACACTTCTTTTCACTTTTCTTCGCAGCAAAGTATTTCTTTCTTAAGTGCGTTGCACTTCTGACTCAATTTGCCGCACTTTTCATGTTTCAGAGTTGAAAAATCTTCTCTCCTCAAAGAGCAATGACTGTTACGTATATTTATCACAAATGCGA